GCAAAATGGGGCTTCAATCCTGATTGGAGTATTGTTGTGATACTAATTAGTATTATTATTAAAACAACACCACCCACAGCTGTATATTGTAGTTATTTTGTACAATGCAGTTGAAATAGTTCAAATACTGTTTACTTTAGGTACTTACATGACCCTTATGAAAAGAACTCCATCCCTGGGAACCCAGCATTTTGAATGGGTAGTATAGCCCTTAAAGTAAGTGGGTCAAAAAACATACTAAATTATCGGGCCTCCTATTATATAAGGAAAATTCATTCAGCAGCCCCTAAAAACAATTCACAGAACTCTGGCATCTTACTTTTAATATTAAATTGAATTCTTACAGACTGTTTTTTAATATTATAAAATAGTTTAATTCTTTTGAAAATGGTTTGCCAGGGTATCCCTACTAAAATAACCCATTTGATTTCACATATAAAATAGCCTTAATAGTCATACTAAGAAGAAGCAGAAAAATACATTCACTATAATTATTTAAGGTAAGCCACCCCTCTAGAGATCTGGTTTTCCAAGCTAAGTGATATGTCAAAAGATATGCACAATATATAATGTAGGAAAAACATTCAGCTGCAAGAACCGGATACAAAACAGTTGATCTGTCATGACAGATTTTTATGAAAATCTCTTTTGTTTACTCTATAAAAGCAGTATCTTGGAAAACAGCAATCTTTTACATAAAATATTCTTTACCCTTGCTCTCCCCACACCTTACAAACAGTACATTCATATACATATGGATTTAATTACTCCCTAGAGTAGTAAAATGCAGAGTCCATCCCCCATGGTCCTAAGGCAAAGGCCTAGCCACTATACTATCAACAACAGATTAAAAATCTAACTATACTTTATATTTTAAACCAAACTAGTTACTGGAAAAGATAGGTCAAGCCTTGTTTTCAGCTACAAGGATAGACTAATAGAAATACTGATCAGCTACCTCAGGCCAGTGAAACTTACAAAATCATTAACCTCAGTAGCTATCCAAGTAAGCAAGACAGACAATCAGCTTTAAGAGTCAGACACAGGATCATCACTCGATATACAAGTTATTGTCAATATCCTGGAAAAGGTCTATGGCAGCTAAGCAATCAAAGAGCAACGAAATGAGGGGAGACACACAAAAATGAAATATTACTGTTAGAAAAGCATTAATAAAATTAAGTTACCCTGCCCAAATATTACAAATGAAACCACAATGAATCCCCACCAAAATAAAGTGTCCAATTCTGTATTCTCAGGCCCAAGCTGATGTCAATGGCAACTCGCACATATCTGAGAGCAGAATTTTGTTCTAAAATCACACGCTATTGTTATTATGGCATAGGTTGATGCTAGTATACAGTCTGACAAAAAGAACATTTCTCTTAGTATTTCTACTCAGTCCCTTTCCACCCTGATAAAAATATAACATCTTTTTAGTATATTTCCCTTCATGAATAGAATGCTTTAAGAAGTGTAAAAATGTTCAACAGGAACACTTTTAACAATGTTTGATGGTTATATTTAAACTAAAAGATATCAAGGGTTCTCTCTGCATTTATTGATTAAGCAATGGCTGTGTGTTTGGTCTTGTACAAAACAGAGGTAAGACGTTCCCTGCCTCAAGGAGTTTGCAACCTAGGCCTTAGCCCTCAACAACTCTCAGTGACAACAATGAGAAATGCGGGGGGCTGACCACTTCTGAAAATCTGGCCCAAAATGTCCTGGCTGACCAGAGGAACATTTTAACAGCAATTATTGTAATCTCAGATATGTGGCAGTAAAGGTCTACAAATCTGAGTTAGAACAGAGCCCTAAATGTGTAAATGCAAGGAAGCCCAAAGTGAAAGAAACCATCTCGGAGAAGAGATTTATTATTTTATAATATTTTCACTAAAGCTTAAGAGTTACCAACTCAGATGTACTCTTTTTGAAAGGTATGACAGATCAACATATTATAAATTGTATATGAGGTTGATTTATATTATGGCTACATGGCTTACCATATTTAGTTGAGTAGTTTGGCATGGGTGGATGCAAATTACATAATTTCAGGAGAATTCTCCTTTTTAACCTTTCATCAATTTTAAACAAAAGCCCAGTGGTATTTTTTCTCAAGTCTATATACAGTTCATAATTTTGCTTTAAGCCTGCCCAATTAAGGTTAAGATTTGCTTACTTATAATAGCACTAAAATATTTTAGGAGCAAAGACACACACAGACATTATCCTAATTAAGTTCATATGCCTCATTTTTCAGTTTTTTTGATTCTGCCATATAGCACACCATGAAGCAATGAGGTATAAGTATTGCTTAAAACTGAAAATACCTGCTCAAATTACTATTCATTAAATGTTAGCTGTCGCATATCACAATATACTATGGTTTCCAGCCAATTGGCAATTGAAATATGTGCATTTAGGACTTAACTGTAGTTTTTGTAATAAAAGTATAAAAGCGATTTTACTGCATCAATTAACTTCATTTCATTTGCTTTTAAGAATCTCCCACAAAAAGGCTTATCATCTTCTTTCAAATGTGGACCAACTACTCCCTCTGCTGAAAATAATCTACCATTACACAGCAGAAACGTAAAAAGATCCTATGAGAGCCCTCTGGTAGAATACATGTAGGTTCATGTAAAGTAAAACTATGAAATATATTGTAGGCATTTTCTCTTTTTAAATTACATTTGAAACTATTAAGACAAAAATGAAAGATGGGATAATAAACTGTATATTCCAGATTCTGACCACCACAGTATTTATAATGCTGAGGTGTTTCCCTCCCGTTTCTACATGGGAAGACAAGCCAAAATATGTATATTTCAATTTTATACAATATTTATTGCAAGAGTGGCACAATACTTCTATTATTTATTACTTTAAATTGTATTACAAGCCTCAACAGAGTAAGAACATGCTATCTTATATTGCCTCTCTGTGTAGTGGAGCAGAAGCAATTTCTGGGCCTTAATGAGGAGCCTTTTGAAGGAAAACCTTCCCCAGAAAGTGGAATATAAAGGAGAGAAGGAGCAATCATATTTATATTCATTGGAGAACATATCTTTTGGGAAGCAAAAACCCATAGATGGAAATCTACGCCTAGTAAATAAATAAGCCTGACAAAGTGATCTTTCAGGTTTCAATTAAATAGGAAATTGCTTCTACAGCTATCAACCTGGAAAAACTTCATGGACACAAAAAATATGAAACTAATTTATATTCCTGTTCAGCATTCTGTATATGCCAGAAATTTGCCTTTGCTTCTCCAACATTACAAAGAGAAATAGAAGTGTCCCAAACCTATAGCACTCTGTGGCTGACGTGACAGTAGCATACACTACTGGTACCTGACTCATCCGGTAACAATATGAAACACCTGTATGAGAAACCATTGGTTTGCTCAGCTGAGTTCTCATGATGTCATTGACAATAGTGTGATTGCCAAAGTAAATGGCTGGATAGAGTTGCAGTGTCTGTGCTAGATAGGCAATCCACACCACATTGCTGATTAGCGACCAAAGATCTCAGGACTCTATCCAGCACAAACACTCCAACTCAACCCAGCCGATTACCTTGGCAATGGCACGAGTGTTAATGACACCAGGACTCAACCGATCAAATAACTGGATTCCCATAGGGCTCCTGTTGCTACTTTTCTACCAGTAGAATACTAGTGATGTATACTCAGGATATCAGCCACAGAATGCTATAAATGTGAAACATTAATCCTGTCTTCCCTTGTAATGATGGGGAAGCAGACGCAAATTTCTGGCATATATAGTTGTCCTTGACCAAGACATGGGACTGTATGTACAGTCAAGCTAGAGATGATATGAGGAGGAAAATACTAAAAAGCTCATTGCATGACATGATTCTCTTTCCCTTGTGGAAGAACACAACTTTGACTATATACATGTCTCTTTGTTAAACAGGTTAGCTTGCCATGAAACCAGGACATGGCAGCTTAGATGGCTGCTATATCTGGATGATCATGAATATTTTCTAACAACCCACCAAAAAGCAAAGCTACCTATCCACAAAGGAAAAACATAAGCTCCCCTATGAAGAAAAATCTTGGAGAAGACCCCACCAAAGAGCAACATGCGGTTCTAATCACATGGAATTATATGCAAAGTCTAAATTACTGTTTGCATTTCTCCATTTAGGATAACAGAGAAGGAGGTCTGGAAGTAGAAGCAGATAATAAGATTGAGTGATTTTTTTACATACCCATTGCTTTGAGCTGAAATAGTTTGCAGGTGGGCAGAACTATACAATGCTGTTTACACAATACTGCAATAAAGACAGCACTAATCTTTAAACATTCAAATATTATATAATGAAATCATATATAAACAAACTATATACATAAGTAAATCACAAAAGCATACATATATGCTCTTGTGATTTATTTACAGTTAATATTTTATAGTGTGGTAATAAAAACAAGAACAGGAAAGAGGAAAAAAATAGGAATTGTGAGAAAAAAGTCAAGAAGCAGTGACTGACCACAAAGAAAGTTTAACAATATGAGTACCTGCAAAAAAACAACAAAAGTCTTAGATGATCTGATGAGGGAGTTACTTGGTTAATATTAAAATATTAGTCAGAGAGAAGTGATTCCTATTTTTAATCCAGGTAGTTAAGACTATTACACTGGCAATTCATGCAGTTTTCTGACTCACTAACTATGAACTATAAAGTGAGTAGCTTTAAATTACACAAGCATAGTTTTTAAAATTTCATTTGAAAGGACAAAACCTCCAATAAAGATACTCTGCCAAGGTCCAGTGGTGTACATGATATACCAGTTGCATTTCTATTGTCATTAATATAGTCTCCATTTTGTAAGTGAGAAATGCCAAGGGTCAAAATGTGCTATGCTGACCCGATACTTCATCATTAACTTAAATATAGATATGTATAGATTAGCCATATACTAAAGATTACTGTGGTAATATTGGTTATTATGAAAAATTTGAAGCTCTGCTTACCTTAATAACAAACTTGCTGGATGTCATGATTATCAGTTCAAACAGAGCCCCTAAAATATCAAAAAGAAGTTACAAATAAAGATTTGCACTAGAAAAACAAACAAACAGATCTTTATACCAAGTGGCAAACAATTTTAGCTCCACTATTTGTTTATTCCACGCTCATGTTGCTTTACATATTGTAGACTCTGCTCCCACTGAAATCAAAGGAAAAACTCTTACTCCACTTCAAGAAGATCAATCTAGCTACCTACCTTTGGTACTTTTATGGCCTCTGCTACCATAATATTTCACATTTCATGTATTTATCATCACAACACCTGTGAGAGGTAGGGCAATACTATCCATCCTGATGTTACAAATGGGAGAGAGAGGCATAGACAGACCAGTCTATAGTCACACAGGAAATCCTTGTGGAACAGGACATGGAAGCCAGGTCTCCCAAATCTTGGGCAAGTGCCACAACCACTGGACCGTCTCCAGACCCACCCAACCTCCCCCAGCCCCCCCCCGCCCCCCCCCTTTTTTTTTGCCTTAGGCCTTCCCTACCAGCTTCTTTTCTATACCAGCAATTCTTATTCCTTTAGTACTCGCACCCTAAAAATTACATCCATCACCACCATCTGTTCTATGAAAATCCAAATAAATGTCAACTTTTCTCTCTACAGAAGACCCTGGTGAAGCAGTTTAGGAGACCTTCAGTGATTCATGATTCTCACTTCCTGAGTGCTCTAGTGACAATCCCAGAAACATAGCCCTATCCAAGGACACATCCTGCAGGAGAAATTCCTTTGCACAGCTCTAAGGGAAGGGGAGGGTGAAGAAGAGGAGAGGGAAAAAATGGGAAAGACCATCCTTTGAACTAGTTTCCTTCAAAAAGAGAAATATAAACTAAAGAGGAGAGAGGATAGCACCTGCTCTAATGAGTTGTCTCCTCAACCTTGTATCATGGTTCAGGTGGTGGTTGTGGATACCTTCTTCCTCTCTCCCCTCTCAGCCTTTCATAACAAAGGAGTCTGTGGCCCAATAAGTCCCTTTCTCCTCTACCTGGATGACAACTCCATTCCTATGAGCCAGAGGGAACCTATGATGGCTTGTATATCTCCTATTGTGCTCCATGTGAGGGGAGACTCTTGTAGTTATGACACATCCCATTGCAGTGATGTCCTAACTGGGTCCCTTCAGAAATACACCATGGTATGGGATTCTAGTTTTGTACCTGCACTTGGGTCAATCAAGTACATATGAGGTTAGTTAGGATCAGAAATTTAAAATGGGGTAGAATTCTTTTCAGGAAAGAACTGACAAGTGTTTGCTTACCAGAAGCCAGGACTGGAAGCTCTAGTTGACAAAAAAAGCTGCCTTGTTTATATTATTTTGTTTAGATTTAGACTATTAAAATGGATTTAGGGAATGTGGTCAAAGATATTGCCGATGAGCATCATTTTGACTGCTCTACAGGAAAAATTGTAAATGAACCTGAAAACCTAAAATGGGTTCTGCTGCTTAATTTGGGAGCCATGCTGAGGTTCTGTCCAGCTGCATGAACTCTGGCCCTGCTCACAGATTACTATGAATTTGAATTATGTCCTCTATCCAATTATATACTAGCTGAGAGACATTCATCAGTTTATTGTTGTATGCAGCGTTGTTGTAGCTGTGTCGGTCACAGGGTATTAGAGAGACAAAGTGTATTTAACTGTGATACTCTGAGTACGTTTGCAGACCTGAAGAAGAATTCTATAGAAACTGGAAAATGTGTCTCTCTCACCAACAGAAATTGGTCCAATAAAAGATATTACCTCACCCACCTTGTCTCTCTATTTATCAGTTTAGGAAGAGTTTACCCCTGTATTAGAAGATGAACACACTTTCCCTTTATCTTATTTTAACTCTTTGACACTATGGTCTGACAGCAGGTCACATAAATTTTACAGTCTCTTTAGCTAGTGTCCTGGGCAAAGGTTTGCTGAAAGACTCAGTCCTCTGAAAATAAAATGGGAGACTGCTCACTTTCAGAAGCAATTCACACCCAGAAGACGTTTGTATCATAGACTTATAGCTAAAATTTTGCCCCTCAACAATGACATAACAGAATACCTAACATTTCATTCAGATCTTATGCAGTTGCAGGGCCTGGAAGGTTTGATTATACTTATTCCAATGGTCACAAAAGTAACTTTTGCCTTGATTGTGCCGATAGTAAGTCTCGGATCCTGAAATTTACAACATTAGCTCCAAAAGGTAATACTGAAAAGTCAAACATACTAAAATGTTCTTATTTAAAAGGACTCTGTCAACTCAAATTTTGCCATAAAATTAAATTTGGAAACAAGAACAAAAATCACACGCTTTTACAAACTTGGAAGGCCAAAAGAAAGACTTAAATTATCCTAAATTCTAATAGCAATCGTTTGAAATAACCATTCCCATGCAGTATTTGCACCCCAAACATTGGAGTTCTGAATCTGAAATTGCAAATGACAATATGCAAAAGTGAAAGTGACTGGGGCAACAATTCAATACTCTTGCCCAAGGAAATTTCTTATTGACACTTCAGTGATTTTCTTGCACAATGAAAACAGAATTAGGCCCATAAATGAATTTCACTGTTCAAGCTGAAAGAAATTCAAACAGTAAACAAAGGATCGTAAATAGTGAAAAGTAAACTAGGTTTTCAATATTCTGTTTGACTTAGGTAAGGGTCATTTAAAATGAGAGCCCCTTTAAAGGTAATTGTTGAAAATTATATGTAACTACCAACAAAACCATCACTTGCATTATACTTTGAAGTGGAAGAATGGACTATTAGTGTGATGGGGCTCTTGTATTGTATTCTATCTGTATACAGCTCAGTGTTTCACTAGTTAGCAAGCAGACAAAATTCTTTAATAAAAATCTACTCAGAGACAGACAAGTGAGATGCAGGTCATGACGCTGTGCTACAAGAAAGGGCCACAGTGGTTACGCTTTATCCATAATGTGGGTAGACACTCACCCTCACATAAAATGGCCACTCTCATAAGATTTCTGCTTTTTTGGCAGAGTTCATCCTATCCAAATCATTGGTGGGGTTCAGCAGATTTCCCACACCACGAACTAGGGAGGAGGTTCTGCTACCCTTGCAGTGAGTAGCATGTTACTCCCACTGAGTACCCCCCTACATTTAAATGGAGCCAATCATGAAGTAAAGTGCTACTCGGCATAAGTAAGGGTAACAGAATCTAGCTGTCTCATTGGTGGTATCCAGAGTCAGATTTAGAAACCACTGTGCCTTTACTGACAACTATTTAAATGTTCTAAAATGTGGTTCTGACTAACAGTTCTTGAAACAGCAGCTGCTAATCTAGGTCAGAATTGAAGCTGAAGGAAAAAGGCAACCACTGAAGTGAAAAACAATTCAGAATCCCAGCTTTCAAATAGTGCATACTGTTAGTGTATACCCCTGGGACTCATGGGATACCGTACCTTAAAAAGCTCTTCAGACCAGCAAAAAATACAGGCCAAGTAACAGAAAGGCCAAGACACTTTCAACATCCCACAAACCACAGCCAATATAACCCCGCACATACATTATATTATTTTAGATCTTTGTTTTGCACCGTAAGGCTCTTGTGAGTCTGAGAATAGGACAGACATGTAAACATTGTCTAATAAAGGGTCATCAGCAAGAGCTGGTTTAATGATCCACCAATTAAAAAATAAAATAGGAAAGACAGTAGGAGGGAAACAATAGGAAAGAGTTCAAAGTCACAAGATAGACTGTCACAGCAGGGGTTATCCAAACAGCTTGAATCATGACTGAAGATTGCTTAACCAATAAAATCCCCATGCAGCATAGGGGAACATGGGCTTATAGGCTCACTTCCTCTATTCTGAAAAGCACCATCAAGAATCCTCTTCGCAGCTATGTGGATTACTTAGCTAACCTGTGGATTACTTTGGGCTGGTCCACACTAACCCCCCACTTCGAACTAAGATATGCAACTTCAGCTACGTTATTCACGTAGCTGAAGTCGAACTATCTTATTTTGAACTTACCACGGGTCCACACGCGGCAGGCAGGCTCTCCCGTCGACTCCGCGTACTCCTCTCGCCGAGCAGGAGTACCGGCATCGACGGCGAGCACTTCCGGGATCGATCTGGGATCAATTTATCGCATCTAGACAAGACGCGATAAATCGATCCCAGAAGATCGATTGCTTACCGCCGGACCCAGAGGTAAGTATAGACGTACCCTTTGGGTGACCAGTACCCCGGATACACAAAGTATGAGGCTGGGAACACAGCCATGTCAAGAGGTGTGTTCAATGCTGCTCAGCAAATATAGAGCCTCTAAGCTCCTCTACTCTCAGAAGCACTGAGGCTTAAAAGACCACCCATGGTGCTGCAGGTTGGTGAACTGGAGGAGCAGCTCTGTGTTTGGAGAGCTGATGCTTCAATATTACTTCCTAACGTACAGCTGCCTAGAAAGAGGTGGGAACTACTACAAAATATGGCAAAGCATCTTTCCATCAAATGCTTATGGCAATGGTTCCCAAACTTGTTCCACCGCTTGTGCAGGGAAAGCCCCTGGCGGGCCGGGCCGGTTTGTTTACCTGCCGCGTTCGCAGGTTCGGCCAATCGTGGCTCCCAGTGGCCGCGGTTCGCTGCTCCAGGCCAATGGGAGCTGCTGGAAGCGACGGCCAGTACGTCCCTCGGCCCA